AATTACTGTATATCCGGTTTTTTAAAACTTTTGTGCATACTAATATGGTGATTTTTTTTTATGTGGAGCGATTTTCTTTTTAAAAAAGGCGGAATGAACATTTAGTTGTTTAGTAAAGAACATATATACTACCTCTGCTTCGCATTACTCGCAACAAAGAGGTATTATTTGTGAGATATAAAATATTCGTTTGCTGCGAGTAATATGAAGCAGAGGTAGTAGTTGTTTTATAAAGAACGTCTAGTTTTATATGTTTTTTTTGTAAATCTAAAGAACATTTGTAATATTAGTAAAGAATATTTGTAATATTAGTAAGAACATGATAATATTAAAGAACATTATTCATATAGTAAATGTACATTTGGTATAAATGACCATGTATGCATATAAAAAAGTACATTTTATTGTATTACAATGTACATTGTATTATATTCTAATGAACATATATGTTATAATGTTGGTTACATGTTTAATGTACATTGTATTATTTGCATCATGCAAGTATATGAAAAAAGAACATTTTACTGTATTTTAATGTACATTGCATTATTTGAATCTACAACTTTTTTTAAAATTGTCTATTTGCTTGCTTTTTTCTTCAAAAATAGATTAATCGGAAGATCTTCTTTAAGAACTTTATTTTATTTCTCATTGCAACCGCAAAATAACATCAAAATCGCAATTAATTCCCAATAAAATCAAATATTACAATTTTCAATCAAATTTATAAAAAACAAACACTCAAACTCAAAATAAACAAGTATGAATGTCAAATAAACAAGTATGAATGTCGAATTTGGTCTTACCTTTCGTTTTTATTTGTCATCTTGAAAAATTTTGGACTCAAAATTTCGAATTTCATTCGAAATTTTGCTTGAGGTTTGAGGAATTTAAATGGTTTGAAGTTTTGTTTGGAGAGAGAAAATGAACTTTTGGTAAAAAAAATACTAAAATGATTTGTAATTAATGTATGGTAAAAAAAATAATTATAGTACTATTTATCTATTTCATTATACAAAAAAAATAATTATATTATTATACAAAAATAATATACAAAATTGTTGCACAAAAATCTGATGTACATTATAAATGAACACTATGTTCTTTTATGTATATGTCTATGTACATTATAAATGAACACTATGTTCTTTTATATGCCCATGTACATCAATATATACCTGCATGTTCATTCCGCCTTTTTGTACTTTGGAGCGGATGCACCATGCGAATCGTGCATCCGCCTCCACGAACCAAGCTTTACTAATTTGGCCAATGCAAATCACAAACATGTTATTAGGGTGAGTTAATCGAAATTGAGAATTATTATATTTATAGGAGTGGAAATTTGGATTATTCTTGTCATTTTTTTTTTGTTTTGTTTTTAGTACTTTTACTCACTCTTTTTTCTTTCTTTTTCAGGCTTATGCCTCAAATTACCATTTTCGGTCAGGTGCGTGGTCTACTCATATAAGCAATGCTAATTAACATCGTCTAATTTTAAACTGAAATGCAAAATTACTTAAAACCCGAATTTTGGAAAGTAAAATTGATCCGAATTGATTTTTATTCAACCTGAATCCGAATTGACTCACATTTTAAGACCTATGCAACACAGGTTTCTGGTATAAACCCAACTCATAAGAAACTAACCCGAAATCAAATCGAATCAAATACGTTTTACTTGTAACCTGTTAGTGATCTGACCGTGTTTCAACTTGAGGTAAACAACTTGTGACCGGTTATTACTATGATCAGTTCTTTTAGTAACTAGACTAAGGCCCTGTTCTCATTGACTGAATTCAGCTGAACTGAGCTGAGCTGAGTTGAGCTGAACTGAACTGAATTGAGCTGAAATGTATATTTTATAAGAGAAGGAAATTTGGAGCTGAACTGATCTGAACTGAGCTGAAATGAACTGAACTGAATTTCAACGTAAGAGAACAGTCCCTAATTACTATGAGTAGTATATACCCCATCTGGCCTTTAAAGTGTATCCCATTTTTCGTTTTTACGTCATCCTTAAAAGATTGACATGGTTAATATATGTATAAGGACGACCACAAACTAGATTCTTGCAAATTAGAGTAAACGAGTGATTTTATTAAAATAGTTTTTACACGAGAAATAGAGTAGGACTAGCCTGTTCTCATACGTTGAAATTCAATTCAGCTCAGTTCAGTTCAGTTCAGTTTAGTTTCTAATTTCCTTCTTTTATAAAATATTCATTTCAGTTCAGCTCAACTCAGTTCAATTCAGTTGAGTTCAGTTAATGAGAACATACCCTAATTTTCATGTGTAAAAACATATTTTGAATAAATCTGTAATTTTACACTATACGATCTCGACCTTAAAACGCGTGTCACAGTGTTGTGTTGCGGATAATAAAAACGGAGGAAGTATTATGTTTTTTTATCATGTCGTGATTTGCTTCGTACTACATACATTTTTATGAATATAAATTAGACATGGTCTAGCAAGTTTAGTTAAGGCTTGGGGTGACATCATCAATTTGAATCTTAAGACAAATGCTTAAGACTTTTTCCATTTTTCTTCAAAAATCTCAAGCAAGTCTCAAGTTGAGTCTTGAAATTCCAAAACTCAACTTAAGACTTGAGATTGGGACCACTTAACCCACCTCACTTTTTTTTTTTTTTTTTTTTTTTTTTTTTTTTTTAAAAAAATATTTTTTTTTTACACTTTTCTACATATAATATGCCAAATATTTGGCTAAAGTGATAAATTTGTGTAAGCCTTAGTGAGTCTTAACAAGAATTTGATGACATCATTTTCAATGGGAACCACAAAAAATGATGTCACATCAAAGTTTTAAGACTCGGGGCTAAACTTGTTCTAAGTTTGATCTATAATGTTCTTTAGCATTATATTCTTAAAATATAAACCACATTTTCATTACTCTATGTTTGGGTTTTAAATGCCCACTATAAGGTCTATAACAATCGTCTTCCTAGGATTCCCGTCTAGAATTCTTTTGCGAAGAATATTATAAAAAGGTGTATAATGAGATGTGAGTTCGTAATCACCCAACAACAGTTGGATAGCCATTATAAATCTTGAATCATGAATTATGAGATGTGAGTTCGTAATCTGGGCATGGATTTTCTGTTACATCACTATGTACATAATATCTCTGATATAAGATCTTGTAAAAAAAAAAAACTTTCATATAAGATATTTATTTAAGTATTTATAAAGGGAAACAAAAGGAAAATATCTTTGATAAAAGCAATACAACCAATTGTCTAGATTGTATAACTTCTCGCCCGTTATAAAGATCTCTTAAAAAAATCAGGTGTACAATAATTAGAACGTTTTTCCAATTTGAGCTCTAAACGTAAACTATTGACAAAAATGGTTGCGTGGCAAAACTATTTACCAAACTAAGCTTCCAGGGTAAATCGCTGTCTCGGACAGCGTTTTACCCCTGGTTTTTTTTTTAAAAAAAAATTCAACTGGTAAACGCTGTCCTAGACAGCGTTTTACCTTCTGTATTTTTTTAAATTCAGTAGGGCATAAAACGCTGTCTCGGACAGCGTTTTATCCTTGGGTTTTTTTAAAAAAAAATTCAATGGGTAAAACGCTGTCCGAGACAGCGTTTTATGCCCTGTTTTTTTTTTAAATGAAACGCTGTCCGGGACAGCGTTTCATGGCCATATATCAGCATGTTCACTTCAGCAGAATGCGCAAGAACTCAACCTCAACCTCAACGCTTTCCCTCCTCCCTCTCACACTAAACCACGACCGTACTCAAACACCCGCATTGCCGCCGCCGCCCACCCTTGCGCCACCGCTGCTGCCGCCACCTTGCTGCTGCCCTCCTCCCTCTCACACTCACTCACTCAATTTCGTGGTTAGCCCTAAACTGAATTTAGTGTAATTGCATAGTTATTGTGGTTAATTATTGTGAATTGTATGTAATTGCTCTTACTTGTTGTTAATTCATGTCAATTGCATGTAATTGTTGCTAATTATTAATGAAAATGTGGTACATTGTTGATAATTATTGATGGTGATGTGGTACATTGTTATTGAAATTGTTCATGACATTGGTGAAGTTGATGATGGTGAAAATGTTGAAGTTGTTAATGGTTGAAATTGGTGAGAAGAGATGAAATTGTTGAAATTATTGAAATAGTTTAGGTTGAAATTGTTGAAATAATTCAAATTGTTCATGAAATTGTTGAAATTGGTGAAGTTGTTGAAAGTGAAGTTGTTATAGGTGAGAAGAGTCTTATTTCAGTGTTCATAATTTACCTCGCTCTAGATTTCGATAATCCTAAAATGTGTTTTGGTTATGTAGAATATGGCGTCACAAAATGTAGTTTTGTTATGCCGGTGGGGAGGAGAAATTCTGTTTGATGGACCCCGGGTCGAGTATAGTGGGGGAAATATGGAACCACTAACACTAGAACCGAACATGACTATGAATGATTTGATGAATGAGGTTCATAGTAGTATTGGTTCAGACCCGATGACCGTTGACGTACACATTAAAATGAGGTTTGAGACCGGCAATGGGGTTCAAGTGTTACCGGTTTCTACGAATAAGCATGTGACAGCTCTAAGGAACGTTGTTGCAATGAAGGGTGTTCCCACTGAAATATATGTGGAAACGGTGCCTATATGTACCCAACATAGTTATTCGCCTACGCAAGATGATGGTCAGGCTTCACCGTCTCAGCATGCGCCGAATCATCTTGAAGATATTGTGAATAACGAACTTTCTGTGTATGATGTGTACACAAATGATGAGGCCGATAGCGGAGAGGAGGAAGATGGACTTCAGAACATGGATGTAGAACCTGCTCGGATGGAAGTGGGCGAGCCCCTGGTTAGAACTCCCATTCCTTGGTTCAGTCAGGTGAACGAGAACTACGAAGTTGATCAGGATTGGGCCGAATCGGGTAGTCATACGTCGTTTGTTCCGGGGGGGGGAATTTGAGAAGGGGATGTGGTTCGAAAGTAAGAAAGTGCTCCAAGAAATGGTGAAGATGTATTCCATACAGAGGAATCAGTTCTACACCACAATTACATCGAATGAGAGTGTGCTTCATTTGCGGTGCAAGAAAAAATGTGGTTGGATGCTACGGGGTACCAAATCTAGTGAGCACTCGCGTGGCTTCGCCCTAGTCACATACAAAGGCCCGCACCGGGAGAACTGTGTCACGGAAGTACTGTCCACTGATCACCCGCATTTGGATTCGTCGTTAATATCAGATTTTGTGAAGTCCTTTGTTCGGAAAGATCCGTCTTTGAAAGTTGAATTCATACAAGAACTCATCTCCAAGCAATTTCATTTCGATGTCCCGTACCGGAGGGCATGGTATGCAAAGGGGAAAGCAATAGCTGATATTTACGGTGATTGGGAGAGTTCTTACGGCAGACTTCCGCACTTCATGCAAGCCCTCCAACAGTCAAACCCGGGAACGTGTGTTGTGTGGAAGTACAAAGCGTTGGTTGACGGTGTTTACTACAACAACATGGAAGTGTTTGAAAGAGTGTTTTGGGCGTTTGGCCCTTGTATCGACAGTTTTAAACATTGTATGTCAGTTATCTGTATCGATGGGACGCACTTGTACGGGAAGTACAAAGGAACACTGTTGGTTGCTACAAGTGTTGATGCAAACTTCCAAGTATTTCCTCTAGCATTTGCGTTGGTTGAGGGGGAAAACACCTCCAGCTGGTCTTGGTTCCTGGGTTGCATTCGGGTTCATGTCACTCAACGAGATGGCCTTTGTGTTATATCTGACCGACATCCTGGGATCATTGCAGCAATGACTGATCCGAACGTTGGATTTACCGAGCCGCGAGCCTATCACAGATTTTGTGTTCGCCACATAGCTTCTAACTTGAAGACTCACGTGCGACGAAACGACATGAGAGATATGTTCAAGGCTACGGCGTACCAAAGGCAGGAAAGAAAACTACACGGCGATCTGTGTTTCATTAGTGAGGCGTGTACCAAGGCAATGGAGTACATTGTTCAAATTCCGTTCACCATGTGGTCCCTCTTTCACGACGCTGGACGTAGATACGGGATTTGCACTACTAACTTCTCTGAGACATTCAACAACGTGTTGAAGGGAGCACGGTTTCTACCGATCATGTCCCTAGTCGAGTTAACTTTTCATAGAGATAACAAATATTTCACTTTGAGAAGGGAGTCTTCTGAGGCAAGATTTGAACAGGGACTTGCATACCCCCCCAAGGTCACTGCCATTCTAGAGAAGAACACCGCAAAAGCCAGATATCACAGAGTGGATGCGTATTCCCTGTTATTTTGTGTAATGATGTACATAACACTTATGAAATTAATATAATAAATCTTTTTTGAATGACTCCGTGTGTGCTTTGAAGTTAATTTGGTGGTTGGACTGTTGTTGGGCTGTTTCGAGTTTTCTGCAGTGCTTAAAGTTGACGGAACTCCCAGAATATGGTGGTGGTACGTGGTGGGGAGTGGCGGAGTTGGTGGTCGACGGTGGTGGGGTAGGGCTGTGGAGCTGGCTGTTGTGGTGGCTGTTGCAGGACTGCAGCATGCAAGCTGTTTGCTGAAGCTTGTTTTCTGCCTGGATGCTGGTTGCTGTTTCCAGCAGAAAAGCGCTGTCTGAGACAGCGCTTTATGTTCAAGCATAAAGCGCTGTCTGAGACAGCGCTTTATGTTGAACATATAAAATAGTTGTAGTTGAATTTTTTTTAAAAAAAAAACCAGGGGTAAAACGCTGTCCGAGACAGCGATTTACCCTGAAAGCTTAGTTTGGTAAATAGTTTTGCCACGCAACCATTTTTGTCAATAGTTTACGTTTAGAGCTCAAATTGGAAAAACGTTCCAATAATTATTATACATCCATTATAAAGATCTCTTAAATTGATTAAAAGTTACCCTTAAAGTGATAAAAAATTACCCTTAAAATGTATAAAAGTTACTCGAATATGTATAAAAGTAACCCAATTTAAATTAAAACAATCAACGCTTTATTGGTAAAAAAATCACATTTTAAATGACTAAAATTCAATTATTAGTATTGAAAATAATTTTATTACCCTTAAAAAAAATTTCTTGTTTAATTTATTAAAAATAAAAATCATATTATTATTATGTTCAAAATTACTCAAAAAAAGACAAAAAGTTGGCTTAAAGTTACCCTTATACTGCTCGATGTACACTAATATTAGTGTAAACCGCATTTATACAAAAGTTTTTGAAAAAGTTTTGGAAATTCTTCATTATAACCCTCTGGTTTTGCGTTTTCTACGTAGTGCCCCATATTTTTGAAAGTTGCACATTGTTGTTATCCCACCATTAAAAAATTCTATTATGTTGTTTTAATCATCGTTATTAGGCCCACTTTTCACTAATTAATATTTTTTAATTAATTAATAGGATGAAAAATGTTTCGTTATAGGTTTTGGGGTTTTTTTTTTATTTTTTTTTATTCTTAAGGGTCCAAATTAAACTCAGATTTTGGATAAAATAACGTAATTGCCTCGTTTTTGTATATTAAGAAATATCTCGACTTATGTGTTATTATTTTTTTTAGCAGCAAGAATAGTTTAAGTAAGGTTTAAGGTCATTTTAGTTCTTTAGGAATCAAATTGAGCTCAAATCGACAAAAAAATAATGTTTAAGGTCATTTTAGTTCTTTAGGAATCAAATTGAGCTCAAATCGACAAAAAATAATGTAATTGTCTTATTTTACGTGTTAATTGCGTTACTCGTATTTCTTAGCACACCAAATGAGACATTAAACATTACCTTTTTTTTTTTGGCTAATTTCAAATTTAATTTGGAACTAACAAACCTTGATACCTTGCCTGAAACAATTTCCACTGCTAAAAAATAATGACACACAAATCGAGACATCTCTTAGCACGTAAAACGAGACGTTTACATAATTGTTTATCAAATTAAAGTTTAATTTGGACCCTTAAAAACCAAAATACCTTCAAAACCTTTAACATAGTTTCCAACACGCAAATTGATAAAAAAAATATTAATTAGTGGAGAGTGGGCCCCACTAACGGTGACATAACGGAATTTGCCAACGGTAGGATAACGACAAGGTCATTGTATGATTACTAATTATACCTAAGGGTTACTACAATGTGTAACTTTAAAAAAGATGGGACACAACGTAGAAAACGCAAAACTAAAAGGTTATAATGTAGAATTTTCCAAAGTTTTATAAGCACGAATATAAGGTGCATTCAAGGGCATTTTCTGCTCATTATATAATTTTTTGACTCAAAATCTTAAAATATGCAAAAAGTACTAAGCAAAAGAGATGGTGCTATTATCAAAGAAAAACATGGTGCTAGTATCATGTTTTATTTTGAAATCGTAATGCTAAACACATTGGTAAGAATGTTTCCTCCAATATATTACCTGCGTTTTGAGATATTTTAAATTTTACTACCTGTTATTTGAAACACTTTAAGGTTGTGCTAAATATATCATGTACATGATTCATTTTGCCCGCATAATAAATTACTCGCTCCGTTTCTTAATACAAAACTTGTTTTGGTTTTTACGCGGAAATTAAGAAAGTTGTAAAAATCTAATGACGATTAAAAGTACAAAATGTGCATGTGGGGTTAGAGAGAGATTGGGAGAAAGAAAAAGTAGTTGGGAATAATTGAAGAAATAGAGAGAAAAAGTGTTGCGAATTGATGTTAAAAGTACAAAAAAAAATAAAGAAATAAAGATGATAACTCATAAAAAAAAGGATAATAATGTCAAAAAAATGTATTGTATTTTGGTTTACCCAAAAGGAAAATGAGGCTTTATATTAAGAGTCGGAGAGTGTATTAACTATATTGAAGATCCGAAGCTATTTACCCGATTAATATTAGGGTTAGCTGGTTGGTGCTTTATATGATCACTACATAGATCAAAAGTTCACCCCCATGATTCCAAATTGCCCCCATTTAATTCACTTGTTAGAGCATAAATTTTACTAGTAGGTGTATTTTTCAAGTACCCCAAAAGTTTAGATTTGTATCACAATTCGCAAAGTTTAAAACATTAGTCAAAGAGAAATTGAACAAGCTTGATACGAGGATATGATTCTGTGCTCATATCGACTTTTGTAGCTTTCACGAGGGACACATCTTCTACCACTATCATAAGAATTTGAGACATGTGACTTAGAATTTACCTTTATGGATGAGATATTATTATACAGGGTAACGGCTCCCACAATATAAATAGATCCTATTTGGTAAGCGATAATAAATAGTAGAAGGGTAACGGTTTTTATGTAATTTAGTTTTGTAAGCAAAGTGCTATACTCGTGTCAATTATTCATGACCACGGAACATTATTTCTAAAGCATGTGCATATAAATGAGCGTAGGTGTACAGTGTATGTGCATGTAGCACACCCGAGTGTATAATGTAAATTTTATTGTTCAAGAGTAGTAATGTTAGAACCTATGTTACTCGGACTCTTTCATTGACCTCACGTAACCGTGTCGACATGACTCGTGTCGGACACCTACACTTGGACACTTCATTTTTAACTAAAAACAAAACTTTTTTCAAGAAAATGGGCGAGTCCGATACTTGGACACCCGTGTCTAATTAGACACTTCATCCGAGTCCAAGTAACATTGGTTAGAACCTAAGGCAACTAGCTAGGTCCATTTCAGTGGCACCTTTTTGAATAATACTGTTGGTGTTGATTATTTTGCTACAAATATATTATTTGGTTCTAGGGAAGTTAGTAAGGCGGCTCCGTGTAAGATACACCACTTTGAATGTTGATTATGAATTAACATGAACGGGTGAAATAGGAATCAGAATCTCTTACACCGATCACATAAATTGGACTGATACATAGCTTGCTATAGTTAGTATCCATACATATATTCCAAGTGATCATTCGCGATAGAGACTTGACTTGGTCGGCACAGGACCAAGGGTATTCTTGATTAGTTGATTCTAACCTCATCACAGTTTGCCAAACGGGGATCTCTTCCAGTTTACTTTAATTTGCATCTCTTTTACTAACTTAAATACCATTTTCGCTTTCATTTCTAAGATCAGGATCTGAGTACTTTCTGTCTCTGAACTCACAGCATGGAGGTTTAGTTAGGGTCTTGCTCTTTGCTTCACTACTTGTTCAACTCAAAATGCGCGAGTAAAGCTGCTGCCTTTCACTTCCATGATCTTTGTTTGACTCATCATGCAGCACCAGTACAATGAAATTTACTGTCTTAGACTTTTAGTTTAGTTGAATACTTTGTTTAGATGATACTTTTTACATTTTGTTGTAGGCCAAAAGATGTGCAGCCAAAGTTGAAGCCTCAGTGAGGACAGTGACCAAAAATAGGTCATCGCGCAAAGCCTGCTGCACCAAACTTTAGGTACGAAATGGAAACAGTCAGCAGACTCGCATACATCAACTTAAATTGTAAGACTTACAGACATCATCTAAGATGAATAGTCTCATTAGTATTACTAATCTACACGTGTAAGAGACTGAGAGTCAATTTGCTAGATTAGTTTTGAACTTTAGAATTCACATAAGTAATAGTACTTCATGATTTATGGTTGTGACTTAAATTTAGAAGTGCAGCAAATAACAGTGCTAAACCCAAAAGACTTCTTCTCTAAGATGGGATTATCTAATAACTAGCTTTAGTTTCCTTTTATGGAGTTTTAAACTACTTCATCCCTGTCATTCTGTTTTGGTCTATTCAGAATATTTGCTCACTACCAATCTGTGGTTTAAAATAAAGCCTTTTCGATAGGATTTTTCACAAAAAAATATAGATAGGAATCCTAGGAAAGGTGGTCTCAATGAAGTTACATGATATGAGTATTCTGTTACAAGTTTCCACCCATAAGAAGAAAAAGGAAGACATAATAATATTAATAATTGTGCCTTTCTAGCTAGATAAAATACTTTATTGTGCCTTTTTGATCTGTTTTTTGCATCTAAAACGTGGGTGTTAGGGAAGGAAAGCTAGCTAAGCAGTTCAGATTGCTTCCCTTTTGGTAGGTTGAATGTCAACAAATGACAGTTAAAGAACTTAAAGATATGATTATATGTGATTGTAGCAAATTTGAATGAAAAGTCAATGTTTGTCAACCTCTAAATATTTTATGATTTCTGTCAATGGATGTAATAGAAATTTCTGGAGGGAAAGAAGAATAGGTGACTTAACCGCATTACCATGTCAAAACTCCAACTAAACCTGATAGTTGAAAAAGCTACATCTTGGATATATTCTATCATGACCCTTCACATGAGAGCCGCCTTTTGGACTTGAATAGTGGATGTAGCATGAACTTCATATACATTGCATAATTTTCTACTTTGAAAAGGACGGGTGGATGACATATGAATTTGTAACCTTCTTTTCAGGCTTCGACACCACATGACAGAAGGCCAACTAAACCAAAAGTTTAAAATGATAGTTAAAGCCCCCATAATTAGTTTTATACTCTTTCACAACATTAGCATAAACGTATGACAATGAATATATAGGGAGTAACCTGAGTATTATCAAGCAATTAATGATGCAAAATTAGTTAATGTAAGTTAAAGATTTGTGAGGAGAAAGCAGTTAAATTATACTGAATTCAATTCCTACAGCTTTTTGAAAGAACATATCCTCTAGCATTACTATTAAGTATAGTGATATGTGACTTAATAATACTAAGAAAGACTTTTGGGTCATTATATACTTCACTTTTGATGTTCAGTCAGTCTTCAGAATAGCTACTTCTGTTTTGTGTTGACTGAAATTAGTGAGGCAGGTCAGTGAAAAAGTATCAGTTTAAGCGATAATTATTAGCTTACTTATACTCTCAGACTAGTGCAGTCAGAATCAGAATCTTTCACAGTGATCACATAAGGATGAGGAAATGGTCTGTTATTAATAGTTTTCACTTAGATTCCAAGTGATCATTGGTGATAATAACGTGGTTGATAAATTAAAGATCAGCTGATTTTATATTCTAACCTAACGTGAATTTGGTTGTTGTTATGGAATATAAGTATTGGGACTCTCTATGTGCTGCACCAGTAAGTTACCACAACCAACTTTTGATACGAGACTAAAGTGTTGGTGGAATTGTGAGGAACTCCTAGTTGATTTCGGGAATCAATGGTAAGATATATCCTATGACACATTGACATGTGTGTTGTAGTACTTTAGACTTATGGTGGTCTATAATGTTGGTTCATCGTATCCTATATGGTTGTAACGACACTTAAAAAGGGCTCTAGTATTACTTTTGGTGATAAAGTTTAGCTTAACCCTACGATCAACCATCTGTCTTAGAGGAGCTGGTATAAGTTACAGATTATAGCAACATTAAAACTTACCTTGCACCAAAAGTTTATCATGACGCAAGTATGCAACACTAAATCGAGGTTTCAATGCATGGCACTAGTTATAAAGATATTTGCACAGTTTGATTTTTTACTGAATTGATTTCAATCAAACTAGCTTAGAATATAGTCATTGGTCCAGCCTTCCCAAAGCGGTAGCAGTAGAAAGTTCAGGACTAATGGTTTCTAATTATTATACGTCAATTAAACATATATATATTCTGTAAAAAGCGAAAATTGTGGAATATATTGCCATTGTCCTTTTTCATCAAAGATTCTAAGATAAAAAGATGCAAGTAGGAGCACCACGAAGTTGGAAAAAGAAGGGCATTTCCTTCTTGGCTTTTTTAAAATTTGTGCTTCAATGTGGTAAGAGCACATATCAAAAGTTTTAACAATATGTTCTCTTTTTGTTTCTGAAATCTTTTTCTCTAGACTTTATTGCTTTCGTTCTAGGGAAGATATCGATTTTTGGACATCTTCTCTGCTGTTAACATCAAGTAGTGATTGAGCAGAGATTCTAGAAATGACCAGACCTTTTTGGAATCTGAGAGTCTGAGACCATGTGCTATTAGTAAATAATGTTACAAAGCATTAGTATGCTTAAAAAATTCTTAATGAGAATCAGAAATGTTTCTCATTGATCACGTTTAACACCACATTAACATAGAAAATTATCATGCTTCTGGAGAACAAGTGACTGTTAGCTCTATTTTGGAACACTTGTAAATCATCGGCTCAATCACCATCATATGGTTAGTAGTCTAACTTTCGAGAAAGAGCTATTCTAAATGAGGGTATTCTATAGTTCTTGTAAGCTCAGATTTTGAAATGTTTGATGTTATAAATTTTCATGTCAGAAAAATATCATGTTGGCAAGTATTTTTCTACTACCAGCTCTATGTAATATGACTTATTATCAACCCTACCTCATTGTTAATGTATAAAAAATTAATCCAAAACTATATTTTGAATTCGTAGTATGTCAAATTTGATTTGAAATACAGACTGAACATTGGAATAAAAGTTTACATATATAATAAAGATGACTTTCATTGCAAAGAAATATTACATGCTTTAGCTGCTCTTGAACCATCTGAATATTAGCTAAATGTAAAACAACATAGACCATCTACTTAGACAACTATAATGTTGATCAAATTAAACTTTATTCACCTAAACATTTCTTTTGACACTGCAGCTAGCAAGGGAAATTACAATATGACCATCAATTATTAAAACCATGGTATTGCCTGAGCAGTGGGATGAGAGCTCCCCTTAGGTGAAGCGACATGATCTCGTTGGTGGAGCCTTTCAGCTGCCCACCAATGAACACTGCTGGCACTGGTGTGTTGCATCCTAGCTTCATGATCGCCTTCTCCATTTCCTTGCCATCGGGGTCCTTATCAATCTCATAGATGAAAGGGGTAACTCCGAGTTCTTGGAACAAAATGTTAACACTGTAGCATAGGCAACAGGAACTCTTGCTAAAGATCACCACACCATTTTCTGAGGCTACCTTTAGTACCTTGTCCATCTTTGTTTGTGTTTTAGTAAATGTCAGAGCCTCAGAGGTCCTGTGGCACAACTTAAACTCGTTATGCCAACAGGCCTAAGAAACTGATCCTGTTAACTGAGTTTTCGAGCAGTATGATATTCTGCAGGAAACGAAAGAAAACAGAAGAAAGGAGTGATAATTGTCTTGAAGGTTTGGTTGGCGGAACTTTGCATTACCTTGCTGAAGTATTTATAAAGGTAGCTTGAGTATAGGACTTCTCATCTGTCCCAGAACATTGAAAAGATATTGTGCTTTTTCGTTAGATGCTAAAAGATTTTAAAGCTACTTTCAAGGAGATTGGAACTATTGTGTGTGTACTTCTCTTTGAATAATCAACTTGGTTGGCTGATATATTAGACTAATTTGTCCTGTCATTTTAATCAAGTGATAAACTTAGTACTAATCTATGGTTGGCCATGATAATAAACTATATAGTTTTTTTAATTTGCTTTTCGAATGACAGCCTGTAGCAATATGATGGTGACTGTTACTATGTAAGTTACAGTACAATAACAGAGAAACTAATAAAGATGCAAATACTACTTACTAACTAAGGTGGTTTGTCATTCACCAGATTCTCTGAAATCTACTTCGTTCAATATCTCAATGGAGAAGATTTATCAGGATTAGCTTTTGATGGGCCATGATTCGGCGTTGTTCTCATCAACTTGACCTGATTCTTAAATACATGATGGACCTGTAAGATTCTTCACATTGCTATTGGAGCCATTCTTTACACCTCTTTGTTGATTTTTGTAAAACATAATGTATGCAAGGCTTACCAATTGGTAAAGTAACGACGTTCATAATCATGCAAACTTTAGCCTTTATTCATGCACCAAAAACAAAATATAAAATAAAGAATCCACCTATTTCTTCCATACTCAAATCTCACATGTGTTTCTCTTCATATAAAAGTATTATTCATCTTTCGCCCCTTAGGCAAGAATGGAGGGATAGATTGATAGTTGGAAGCTAGCATCAACTTCTAATCATGCTTACTCTATAATTTCTTGTCTTTACTAAAAAAAACCGCGTCTTATCTTTGGTATGAATCCCCCTCCCCTCCCTTAGATGCCTAAATTGGAGGCTAGCATCATCTTCTAATCATGCTTACTCTATAATTACTTGTCTTTACTAAGAAAAACGTGTCTTATCTTTGGTATGAATTCCTCTCCCCTCCCTTAGATGCCTAAATTGTGCTTAATTAGGAAACAAGTATCAGTCTGACAACATCTTCTTTCAAATCATGTTTCCACATTATTAGTCAGAAAGCAATAAAAAAACATAAAGAATTGAGAAGCTATTATAAATGATAAAATATAAGCTTAATGTTTCTGGATGTTTCAGAATAACAGTTATAACAGTTGTGAACGCACACAAATTCAACAGAGTTTTTGTATCTGTAGATGCAAGATGCTTACTGATATGATAAAAAGAACCTATGCTCTTTGCTTTTCCAAGCACCCAGGGCCATTAAAACTTAGCTGTCTTCTTCCTTTGGAAGAATGTTGACTACCAAAAGAAGCAGTGAAGTCAAAAGTGTGTGTTTGACAGAGATTCTAAGTCGACTGATCGATTGTGTTGGACTGTTGTTAGTGAAAAAGTATTCGTAAATGATATTTTCATGTATGAATTCATGCCAATCAAAAGATTAACTTAACGCAAGAAAAATTGCCTGCAAAACTTGATTTCCTGAAATTTGATTTTATGTATGAATTCATGCCAATCAAAAGATTAACTTAATGCAAGAAAAACTGCCTATAAAACTTGATTTCCTGAAATTTGATTTTCATGTATGAATTCATGCTAAATTGCCAATCAAAAGATTAACTTGATTCAAGAAAACTGCCTATAAAACTTGATTTCCTAAAATTTGATCTAGTAAGATTTTTAAGTCATTTTTGCAAATATATACATGTACTTTTAACTTATAAGTACTGGTTTTGCACCTATATACTTGATTATTTGCAGGCTATTTGGTAAGCTGCATGACATTTTCTACCCCTACAAAGTAACTGCAAGCTGTATTAGAGTTCGTTCTGTACATTTCACTATAGCTATTGATACATAAAGCTTATGTATAGAAATCCTTTGGATACAAGCATATAATATATGCCTTTATTCTTGAATAATAGTGGTGTTAAAGCCAGATAGCTTTTGCTTGCATGAGCCTATCTTTGAGAGAACCATTAAGGTGAGCAGCAAGAACATCTCCTGCTGAGCCCACATACTTTCCACCAATAAAGACTGCAGGAACAGTTGGATTACAGCCCAATTTTTGTAAGGCCCATTCCATTTCCCGTCCTTTGGGATCGTGATCCAGTTCATGAACTCCTGGGCTTGCACCAAGTTCATGGAACAGTGTCTCAATGCTGTGGCTCATGCAGTCTGTGCTCTTGCTGAATATCATTGCTGCCTTAGTTTTTGCTAACGCGTTTACTCTCTCCATCTTATTGAATTTCACTGCTGCCTTAGTTTTTTGTTAGAATTTCTAGCATCAAAGTTGTTGGAACATGTTGGAAGTTTTGTGCTCTGAGGTTATGTTCATGTGTTCGGATCAACCCTTTGGCATTCTTGCACCAATTTATAAGGGTGGAAAAAGCCTTCATCTGAAAAGGATAATAATTCAGCAGCAGATAAGGTTGAAGTTTTCGGCTTTAGACCTCCTTAAGGATAAGAAAAATTCTTCTTCCCCTTGATTTTGTATGACATGACCCCTTGTGTGATGAACAAGTGTTGTCAAGTTTCATGATGGCTGAATTCTTTTCTGAATCTATTCTAGAAAGTGTGTCAGATTACTATGAATTATTGAAACACCATTCTTAAACTGGAAATTTGTTTAAATTTTTCATGTGCTTATTCTTGGTAAGAAATGTCGAAATTCCATTCTAAACAGGAAAGTTTTTTTCATAGTTGCCTAGTCTAGTATGTAGATTGTAACAAAGTATGCAACAAAAGGATTTAACTAGAACAGATATATTCTCTGATAAAGAGTGAACTGTGGTCATGAAAATATTAGCATCATTTTTCACATGAGAGACAGCAAAGGTACAATAATTGTTCCTCCATTCACTGGTAAACTAGATAAGAAAGGTTGAACTAACTATTCTTTTGCAGGACATAGAACGGTGATGCACTTCACACATAGATCCTCGAAGGCAATTTTTTTTAATGTATCGTATGGTGTTTAATTGTTCTTGGGTTAGTTATTCCTCGTCTTTTCAATTTGAGACAAGCTGATAAATTTGACTGTCCCTTATTGTATGAAGCTAAATCTGAGTCTCTAACTTCCCTTCATTATTTTATAGGGAATCTATCCTTTGTTTCTTGGTCATTGCAAGTTGTCATTCCACAACATGGCCAATTGATACTTTATGCAGACAACCAGATGCACCAATAATCTGATCTGGAAAATCTAAGAGTTTAATTTCGACAATGCTACTCCTAGTAATGTTCATCAGACAGCTAATCTTTGATATCTGTGTATCATATATTCTGTGAATATCCATTTCCAATACTAAGAACTCCTGAGGTAATTTTACTTAAAATATCCTAGGCCTAATCATTTTCTTTATTGCTTCTTCTGCGGGATTGTTGATGACCAATGAGAATTCTCACAATCGTAATCTTATATGCATTAAAAAACCGTCTAACCTTTGTTAATTATGATCTGGTGAACATGATGTAAAAATCTTCATTTATATTTTGTCTGTGATCAAGTCTTTTGTATTTTATTTAAGACAATTATACAACTCTCTTTCAAAATGTTGTCTTTGTTCATATATTTTTTTTCCCTGTTAAAGGATGATTATACAAGCTAAAATCTGAAAGGGAAAGGAATGAACTGCAGTAGCAGGTGATTGAAAGAGTCCCAGTTCAGAACGAAAGTTATTTTACTACTGTAGGCCTGTAGCTGTATATCCTTACATGATCTTTTATGAGCAGAATGATGCTTTTTGGTCAGCTGAAGTTCCAATGGCGAGGCAGCTGATGTGTACACTGAACTCTGAAGGAGCAAGGTCAGCTAGACCATTTTATACACTCACTTTGGACTGAGAAATAGAATTAAGAAGCTTTTTCCCAAGCAAGCTCAGAGTCATACAGGAGTTTACAGTAGATTGATGTTTTAGTGTTCTGATTGTTGAACTTAGTTTTTTAGTGTTTGCTACGTGATTCTGTCAATTAGCTGTGTTTTAACATTGAGCTACGTTTCAGTTAAGGCAGCATTATGTTACCCAGTAAAGCCGAATGGTAAAGGTGCATGGATAATGTGAAAACTTATGAATAGCTATAATATAAAATTTAACTATTTAATGAAAGTTCCAAAAACTTAGGCCATATTATTTATTCTTTTACAATACAAGGAAAATAAAGCTTCATGCATCGATAACATACTTTTATGAGATGTTAGTATTGCAGTTTAACTCTAAAATCAAGAGTGCAATTTACACCTGAACGTACTTCTCTAGTTGTGTGCATAGCACATGCTAGAGAGGGCATGGCAGGTGCGCTACATGCATGGAACGCACACCTCGTCATGTGGAGGATATGTATAACACGTGTAAGGAAAAAAAAAAATTTGTTTCGGGTAAAAACAATGGGACCTTCGGATAAGGTCTTTATTGTGGGCTGAAGACTGATCTCGGTCCAAGTGATGGCTGGGCCGAGGATTTCCTGCACAACAAACACTCGTAAACTAGCCTCGGGGGTTGTGTCGAGGAAGGGCCCTCTGACGCCAAAGTCATTACAGTATTTAGAGAGTAAAAGCTATGCAAAAGTATTAATTGCTTGAGGCTTTTTATGCATGAATGTAAAGAGAGGGAATTGATGGCTTTTATACCTTTGTTCAAATAGGAGAGATAGTCCTTGCGGTCAAATGGGCTTGCCTCGTTGACCGGGCCTTTGACTAACTTGGCATGACTTAGGAGAGTTGAAGCTTTGCCTTGGGCTTGATAATTGAATCATTTTGGACCGGCCCAATTGGAGTAAATTGGACTCAAACAACTTGCCCCCCAGACCCCATTTAGAAGCACGACATGTTGGGTTTTGACTTGCAAAATGAAGGGAAGATATTGTTTTAATTAATTTTTTGAATTTGGCAGTTATTAGTGTAATTACGGCTGATTAGAGAATAATTAGGGAAGTTGGAAGGTTTCACAGGTAGTTAATTAGGAGAAGTTTGTTTAACAGTTGCTTTAAAGTGGAGTTAGTAAGGGTTTTAGTGGCGCGGACTCCCAAAATTCCATTTCTGGAAAGATTTAAGCCACTCATCCCACCTCTGCTCATTTCTTTGCATAACCAAATTCACTCTTCGCGAAACCCCACTGTTAACCGATTTCCGATTTCTATTTTTTGTTTTCCGCCCATTCTCTAAGATTTGGACCCCGAAACAAAATTTTGTTGCTCCAATCTTGTAGATCGGCGAAGTCCGCTTTTGATAAAGGTAATTTTCTCCGAAATTTCTTCGGTTTATTTGATTTCTAGTGTACCCTTGCTTTTTCGAGTACTTCCCTTTTTTCCTAATTTTCCTGAATTTCCAGCGACAAAAATGGCTCGAGATCGAGGGAAGAGGCCAATGAACCCTGACAAGGAAAGAGAAGCTCTTCAACCAGTCCTTCAACAACGCTGCCGTTAGAGGCGATGCCGCCGTTGACTGGCCGTAATCCACGCCAGATGAAGAGGGGGGAAGATGGGTGAATCTTCTTCAAGAAGGGCGGCTCCGGAACCAATTTCGGCAGTACCCCTGTCGTCAACGCCGTCTCGAGGTTCGGAAGGGGCTAGCACTTCGAGCCGAGCCGAGCTTTCGATAGTCGGACCTTGGGACTTGCCCACCGGAGCAAGTGAGTGGAGGGATGTCCGCGCCAATAACGGGCTGATGACTACACGCCAGATGAAGAGGGGGGAAGAGGGGTGAATCTTCTTCAAGAAGGGCGGCTCCGGAACCAATTTCGGCAGTACCCCTGTCGTCAACGCCGTCTCGAGGTTCGGAAGGGGCTAGCACTTCGAGCCGAGCCGAGTTTTCGACAGCCGGACCTTGGGACTTGCCGACCGGAGCAAGTGAGTGGAGCGATGTCCGCGCCAACAACGGGCTGATGACTACCGTCCATACTCTTGGTGGGTAGAGAAACATGCTGCTTATCGGTTTTCCAAGCAAATCGAGATTTTTTATGGCATTCTTGACATGGATGGATATTGGTGCCGAATGCCCACCGCCGAAGATAGAATTCATCGCCCTCCGCCTGGGTACCTCGGGGTGTACACGCGGCAGTTGCAGGGTGGACTTCGATTTCTTCCGCATCCCTTCGTCATTCAGGTGTTGAATGCGTACAACATTTCTTTATGTCAGCTGATCCCTGGCAGTATCCGAAGAATGATGACCTATCTTTGGACTTGCCTTTTTATGTCTAAAGCCGAGCGTTTACGTTTTTCGGAGGCTCCTTAAGCTGATGTCGAACATTCAGTCTAACATGGAGCATGATCCTGGTTGGTGGCGAATTGCGACCATCCGAGGACATCTCACCTCTTGGCCGAATGAAACTTCGGATAAAGAATGGCGAGGCCAATGGATATGGGTTCTGGCACCCTATGAGGAAATCCATATGAACTTTTTTGGTGGGCCACGGTACTTGAGTAAGTCAGACCCTGAAATGAAGAAAATTGGCCCTGATCCCAAGGTGCTCAGCGAAGTTAAGAAGAGGTTGCTGACCCTCTTCGGCAAGAAGGCAAATCCTCGGAGATCGGGCATCTTTACTCATGCCTGAGACATGGCTTCCCTGCTACCACTACATCTTCTAAGAGAAGATGCTTGTTGTTGTCGACCTCAGCCGAAACGGCCCGAAAGTTCCAAGGGGGTAAGGAGTTCGGCTGGGGTCGAAGACTTTTATTTCCTTTCTTTTTTATTTTATTCCTTATCCTTTTTCTGTTATCTAACCCTTGGGCTTTGGTTTTTCAGTGTTGATCGAAGGGAATTGTGGGATTGACTATGACAAGCTTTGAATTAATGTTGCCAGACACGTGACCAACAACGCCCCTAGAATCCTTGGATCTTCGGAGCGGCCTATTGCCTTGCGTTCTACTAGACTCACCATAGTCGAATACACGGCGTAGAAGGCTTGCTGAAAGAAGCAGGATCCGTTTTTCCTTCTGGGACCCTAGAACAAGCTATAGCGGAATCACCTGATGAGACACACGCAGTTGCTGCTACTAAACCTTCTACTATAGCTCGTGAATCTGAAGTAGAAGAGAAGGAGGTTGAGGAAGAAGACGGTGAAGCTGAAGACACTCGTCTGCTGAAGACTTCAGTATGTCCTCTAGACTTTGCCTTATCATTTTTTTCCACTTTTTCTTCCTTTGCTGATGTAGACACCTAAAAATGTCTCCCCAAAATCAAACCCGATGATAAATAACCTTTCACCGCCACTACTGGTCGGGTTTAGTATTTAATCCCGAGAGTGCTTAAAAAATCGTATTTTATTAAATTCTTATTTTTGAAAGGTCTGTGGATTAGTCTTGGTGTTTGGTAAAAGCATAGTTTTAATTTTAGCCCAAGCTTGTTAATTAATTTTAAGCCCAAACCTTTTTATTTTATTATTTTTGGCCCAAATATTTTATTTATTTTTATTTTATTATTTTCTTATTTTAGCTCGAATAATAAAAGTCAGAAAAAAGCCCGAAATTATCAATCGGCACTTAAAAAGAAGAAAGAAATTAGGGTTAAAAATGAATTTAGACGGAAAAGTGGACTGGAACTGACCGTGTCACGGTTAAGCTTGACCGTGTCACGGGAACTGTTCCCGTCTGACGGCAGGACTTCCCGTGACACGGGAGGTCTGCTGTGACACGGGAAGTTCCATGTCCTTTCCGCGTAAACCCTTAACGCGTTTTCTGTTCCGTTTTCTAAAAATTTTCCGCGTCACTCCAAAACTGACCGTGTCACGGGAACTTGTACCGTCTGACGGTACAGTTTAACCGTGTCACGGTACAGTCTGACCGTGTCACGGGATACATTTTTAGGGTTTTTATCATTTTAGGGTTCCGTGTGCTCCCTCAGCACATTTCCCTATAAATACCCCCTCATTTCTGATGTACGGGGCAACCAGAATTCTATTATTCTTATTTTTCTCTCTTCTATGCTCTTAACCCAAACACTAGCCTACCCTTTTCACTTCAAATTCCTTCTTCAAGCACTCAAAGGAGTCCATATTTTACTCGAGG